GTGTGTGTGTGTGCATAGAAGAGAGAATTATTAACCTTAACATTCAATCAATAAACGTTTTCTTAGAATTCTAGTTTCATACTTTTCTTTTGATTCTCAAAGCTTTTACGTTTCTTTTCGTTTTCATCACAATTCCAACACAATGACCTTTGATCATATGGAAACAGAATCCGTCAGACTCAGAGATCTTTTTTCATTGTACGGACGTCTTTGAGGAAATCATTCAACACTGGCAAATTAAGAAGAAGAATCTTTCGTTTTTTTTGTTGTTGTTAATTATGATTTTAAATAAAAAAAATAAATCGATGATAAAACATATGTTTTATGTAACCCAAAATACATCGACGGCTTTGGGTGGAATAACATTGTCTTAATATGGAAATATGGAAGAAAAAGAAAAATTTGATTGTTGACGCCTTAGACCAACTCGGCCATATCAACTTTCATGTTATTGTTACAACTTTAATGTAAATAAATGTTCTTCTTCTTCAAATATTAAAGTAAAATATGTATTGTAATAATTGGGATATTTGGAACTTGTTGTTTATTTGCCAAAGAGAAAACGTTTGAGGAAAGCACCCCGGACGGGGTTTCGTCGTTTTCATAATCATTTAAGTCTTACTAGTTGAACGAAAATCAAAACCTGCAAGAAAGAGTGGTCTTACTCAAGTGATCAGCTTTTATTTCTACTTTCTGTCATTTGTTTTCAAGATTTCTTGTTTGAACTAATTATTTTTCATTTCGGTTGGCTTGTTTAAAACAATGGCTATAATAAGTTATATGCACTAATGTAATTTTATTTGTAATTTTAGATTAAACGGTACATGTATTATTATACTTGAACTGTTTGTTAAGTGCAATTTAATCATTCAGTCATACACATTTCAGCTCACAAGAGGAGTGTTTTGTTTGCCATTTCGACCAGTTATTCAATAGTGACTTGAGCATGGTTCAGCTTCCAATTCCCCTATAATTTACAGGCCAATTTTATCACAAGACAAGTAACTTGCTTAATCAACTCCAAGCACTCTTCCAATTGTTATTATGGTCATGACTTTCTCTGTACTTAGCAGAAACATTCATCAAGGTGGTTTGTCCGGAGTTTGTCACTGGTTCTTGTTACATGACATTTCGGATGATTTATGTATTTTTCTGTATTTTGTTCTCATGATTTTCTCAAACGTCAAAGTCCAATCAACACATATTTAGCTAATCATAGGAAACTGGCTAAATAAAATTAGAAACAACCAGTCACAGAATTTTTAGACCGGCGAGAACTATCCTTTTAGATAAGAAGCCCCAGAAACTTCCATAGCGGGAAGAAACCTTTTTAAAACATGAATGAACCCTTAAACGCTCCGTTCACAAGAGAAGAGATACGCCTCTGAGACTATTCTTTGGATAAGATGCTCCAGAACATGAGACTAGACTAGCTGCACTGCTGGCTCTGATCTGGTGTGGTAAAATGCAAGGTAGCGGTGGCCCATGGGTCAGCTTGCAGTGGATCATTTCAAAACCATATTAGCTCCTGCAGATCACCACAATTCACCCCTTGTGGATTCGGCAAGTAACTGGTTTAAGATGTTGTCCTGCAAGTTTAAAGCTCAATGTTGAATGTGAAATAAAAACAAGGTTATGGAAAGTAAACCTCAGGTTTCTAACTTTCAGGTTCTTTCAAAGCTGCTTGGCAAACAGTGGGTCCAGAGGTCTTACAGTGGGTTTCTAACTTGTTCATTCACGCTGACCTCAACAATCCTCACTCTGGTTACAGGAGCTTCTTCAATCTCAGACTACCGACCGAATTTTAGCCTGAACACAACCTAGAAAACTATTTCAAAGTTGTTGGTTAGTGGACTAAAAGGCAATCCTCCCTGATCTCATTCTAGAGGCCCGAAAGAATCACTCTGGAGGTTGATATAGCAAAGGCTCTTGACACAGTTGGGCTCTTGACTTCATTCTAAATTGCATGAGATGTGCCAAATACTTTTATCAGATGGATTCAGGCTTGCTTATGTGCTAGTTCGTTCAGCAGACTCAGCACACAAACTTGATCCCTTTTTCAGCATTTTAAATTCAAAGTCACAAAAGGATGTCAGTTTTTTAGTCAGACAAAAATGAAACGGATTTATTCGTTTTTCTGCTAATTTAGGTTTTCAAAATTTTATCATTTGTGGACAAATTTGGTTTATATCTTGAGAATCTAGTCCGGTCATTTAATGTCACTGTACAAACACAAAACCAATCCACATTTTTTACCTTTTTCAATGTTAAAACTTAAAACTAAACACCATGAAACTGATACAATGTACTACAAACAGTCCACGAATAATCTTAAGGTTAAAAGTGAAAACGTTTCAACTTCGTTAAAAAAACTGGCTTACAAAGTCAGAATCAGAGTCGTTTTAGCACTGCAAGAAGATTTCAAATAAGTATTCCTCAAAAATCAAAGCTAAATCATTGAATAAAACCTGGGAACCCTGTGTGTTTTCTAGGCTTAAGATATTTATCCGGTTTCTTGCTCAAACTCTTCACCATCTGATTCCTCTGCATTGTCTGCATCATCTTCCTCTGCTTCATTATCTTCTTCTTCCTGATGGTTGTCAACGACTGGTTTCCCAATTACCGGTAAACTAGGACTCATCTTTCTGATCTCGTTGCACTGCACCAAACAGAGACAAGAAGAATGTACCTTAAACAGTTAAACTTGTCTTAACATTCATAAGAACAACATTGAACTTGCCAATGGATTTATTGATCTATCTCCCCCCTTCAGTTCCCAAGTTTATAACCAAACAATCTAATATATGTATGAAGAGCACCCAATTAATGAAAACACCAAAAACATCAAATTTCACATGTCCTGAGGATAATCTTCTGGTAGATAATGTTTGAGAACAGCTTTCATGCCTAAAGTTCACTTGTCAGATTCCAAATCCGCAATTTAAACATCGGATTTTCTTCTTTCATTTTCCCTTGGTTTGTGATTCAGGAAACATAACTAGTTTCAAAACACTGAAAAGGTCTTCCATGTACAGGTAAGCTTAAATTCTTTTCCATACTTAAATCTACAAACCAAGAACCTTCAGCTTTAACTTCAACATCACCCACGGATCTTCTCGTATTCTTTACATTTTCGCGAGTCTAAAGCTATAAGATGATAATGAAATGAACAAATGCATATATCAATGGAGTCTACACTGAAAAAGACACTAACCTAGAATCTCAACACAACATTGGTATCCATTAGAATTACAAACTTTTTACTAAACATAACACAAAAGAAGAAAGATTGACTAACAATCAAAAAACCCTAATTCTTATCAATGTGAAGTAGAGAAAATGATCTTCCTAAAGCCAAATTCTAGACAACTCCCTTAGTTACCAACAAAACCTTATCTTTGTGATCCCCATAAAATTTGAAATCAAAGACAAATGATCATTCATTCATTCCCCAGTTATTACCAAAATTAAGTAGAATCAACTTATAATCTCTAAACCCATCAGTAAATCTCACTCAATAAGCCATCACAGGAAAACGAAACCAATTCAGTCCAGATCCTTCAGGCCTTGAAAGGACCCCGATTTCAAAACCCAGAAGTTATCAATCAGGATTCTCACTCAAAATCATCTCGAATTACATGGTCTTACAGAGTAATGATTGGCAAATTATGCATCACCCACACTCGAAAACTGAAAAATTGATATCATTAGATTCCGAAAGAGAGAGAATACAGAGAAAAGAAGGTACCTTTTCTTCGAAATCAGCTTCTTCCATGGCGAGAAGAATCTCCTCGTTCTGCGGCTGAGGCCATTGTAACGGAAGCAAATACGATGCCGGAACTGTCTTCGTCGACGACGGAAACTGAGTCATCAACGTCGGAAACTGTAGCATTATTCTCTCTCTACAAAAAATGAGAATGTTATAAAAATGAAAGGAAACAAAAAAACGAGAGAAAAGGCCCAGATTCTTAAAACGCTGCGTATTAATAAAGAATTTGAGACTTATAATTGGGCTTTGCCTTGTATATAGCCCATTCGTACCTAAACCTTAGGCCCGTCCTCTTCACACATATTGTTCAGGTTGGAGGATACTCTCGGTCTATTGATGCTAAACCGGGTTGAAGCTCGAACCAAATATAAATTGTAACTTGACTATTCAGATCTAAGAGATGTGGGCCCAGAAAGTTTGTTACAGGGGTAAATACGTCATTTGAAATTCAAATTTTTCGAATTCGCTGAGTCTCCTTCGCGTCTATATAATATCAGAGCAATAACAAAATTCAAATAAATTTTCTTCTTAACAAATT